CAAAAATAGAATTTTCGGAAAACAAGGATTTGGGTGGTATGTTTCAATTCCCAACAATCAAAAGGAAAATTACTACTGATTCAGAAGAAGGCAGTTAAAAGGCTTCAAGGTTTAGAGTCTGGGGGCTAAATCTGGGGGACTTCTGCTAAGTTCTGAGACTCAGAGGGACAATTGTGACAGGTAAGTGACACTGGTACACTCTACCTTTTGGGATTCTGTATCCAGAATACAGTCAAGGTTTAATATTGGGGTTAATCCCCTTGTAGCAAACAGCAGACAAATGCATTTAGAGCTCTTACTCCGATGCCTAAAACTGAACACAAGTATCATCAAATGTTGGATTGACTTCCCCCAGGGATGTCGAATAAAAGGAACATCCATTCAGATGCACACAGCAGGCATCTGAAAGATGAAAAGAACTTTAAAGAGTGTCTGGTTATGCCTTGTTATTTTACATACAGACGTGGAATCCAAAAACATAAAATGTCTGCCCCGAGTTTTCATGGGTAGTTAGTGGCTGAGCTGGGACTAGACCACAGTTTTCCTGACTGCATCCAGTGCTCTTTATAAAGCCAGTGGGAGCTGTGAGGCAATCATCTGTAGGATCACCTGAGTCAGTCAGTTCTCTACCATCTGGCCTCACAGGAAAACAGTGACTCACAGAATCCGACGTTCCTTTGGAATGCAGGAGAGGTGTGCCTTTCTGCTGTGCTGCGAGCCTATTCGACTTTTGTAAATAAAACCCTATTTTAAATGCCCTGGGAGAGCTGGCAATTTTAAGTGCCTTGCAGGCCAAGGTCATATTTGGTGATACTTAGCACAAGCTTAAGCTGACTGATGGGGTCACTCATTTCATAGATGGAGAGAGGATTTCTGTACTTCCAACTTCAAATAGTCAGTGATTTTTTTCTTAGACCAAAAGCCCTGCTCATTTGCATTCTGAAGCACTTAGGCATGACAGGAAGAACAGGAGGTTGAAATTTGCCAAGGGTAACACATACAAAATGATTGAAAGTTGGCTGTTTGAAAATGTGAAGGTAAAGCTTTCAAAGCCAGACTCCCTTGTTTTCTAATCCAGGAACCCTTGGAAAGTCAAGAATCTCATACATCACGCCTAGTATCTGGGGACAGATACTTTTTGATAACTTTAAGGCTGTAACGGGTGAAGAGGAGACTGGTTCCTCTGACACACAGAGCAGACACCACCCTTCACATTAATCACACCTGCCATCCTGGCCACATCCTGGGAGAACCCTGCCTTCCTCTCCATACAACCACGCAGGGCACTACAGAAACACTCTGGGCCACAGCCACCTTTATTTCTGCCACCTCACACAGGCCTCCAAGTCTGTGGGGCAAAGACATTTAGTTTTCTCTAACTATGGTGATGGCCCCTGAACAACCAGCAAGCATTTATCTGCAAGACTGCTCTAAAGACAATATTGAAAGAAAAGTCGAATCTTAATAATATGCCATTTCCTTCATGTCATTCTTCTGTTCAAAAATCTTCAATCACTCCTCATTGTTTACATGACACAGTTCAGACAACTCAGGTGACATTTAGGGCCTTCCACAGACTGACCCCATCTCTCCTTTCCTGTTTCTGAGCCTCTCTCTTCTACTACATAGGCCCCTCCTTTCAGTCATGCTAGCCAGTTCATCAGCCTCCAAATACTTATGTATCTTTCCCAGCTGAACACATTCCCTCTTTGCCCTACTGTTCATCACCCATGCAAATGCTACTTTGCATGTCCAGCTCAAATACCACCTCCTCTCTGAAGCCTCTTTGCTACCCAATGACCAGGATTTTAGGCTTATTTTTCTTCATGAGAACAGATCTACATTCTTGTTTCCCTCTGCTTTTAATACCCCACACCATCTGGTGCCCATTCTTAACAAATACTTGTTAATTAGTGAACTCTAATTAAACCAAAAAAGTTTCCATTTTCAAAGCTCTTCAAAATAAGGTAATCATTTGTAGCTGTTATTATATCCATGCAATGGTAACTTCAGAGTATCCAGTATGTTGTCATTGGATTCCTTTCTCTCTCTCCACAGAGGACCAAACTAGGTCATTTCGAACCTCAGTCACTTTCAGAGAGATTCTAGAAGGGCACAACTAAGAGTCAGCAAACAGATCACATTCCTGGATTCTTGACTTGGTATCCAGGTCTGCTACTGAATCAGATTCAGGAAAGTGTGAACTGCAGAAATGAACTAATCATTAGCACCATCCAAACAAAATGAAAGGAGCTCTTTTGTTACATTGGCTGGATATTTAGGTTTGAAAGGAGGGAGTAAAGGAGGAAAAGGAAGAAGAATACAGCCATCAATTGCCTTCCTTTCAAATGTGCTTTTCTTGCCTTTTCTGCTTCTATTTTTCACCACCCTGGGATGGCAGTATAATGTTTGGGAGGCATTAAATCAGGATTGAAAAGATGATTTGCCGCCATCTGATGAGAACATCTACTAACATGTTTATCCCCAAAATGCTCCTCTAACTGGGTCCTGTTTAGTTTGTCCAGAACATATTTCTTTGCTAAATTAAAACGTGGTACCCTGCCTGTAAAATCACATCTGATTTCAGGGGTCAGTCCCAGAATAGTCCATATAATCCCATTTATAGGTCCAGTAACATGGATTATTCATTTCATAGACTTCATTTATAAATCTAGACACATTCGGAAAGACAAACATACCATCTGAAAAGAGGGAAACTGAGTTACAGAGGAGAAGAGAGCAGAACCAAATAGCAAATGGGCAGGGAAGCTAATGTGAAAGTTCTAGCTTTCTAAGCATTCATTAATTCTCTTCTTCATTCATTAAACTAATAAATACTCATCATTCCCTGTGTCACAGTTCAATCAGAACTGTGTCATTTGTTCAATCAGACTATCAAGCAAGTATTTATTTTCTGCTAGCTAGTTAACCACTAGATATAACTTCGAAGTCCAACAAGTTACTGAATATAATTTGAATAGGAGGCACAGAAGTAAAAAATTATAAATATTAAGAAAAAGAATGAATGTCAAAAATTGTAACACTGGATAATTTTTCCAATGTCAAATTTGTCTATAATACAGATGTTGAAGTTTTCCTCTCATATACCATTAATCTGCCTCATGCTCCAGGCACATGGGGGTCTTAGTTGTTGATGATCAGGTGTATACAATTGAGAATAAGCTTAGTTACAAAAGAAGTAATTGAGGCTTTAGTCTCTAGAGGCAGACATACAGGAATATGAATATGTAAAAAAAAACTAAGTCCAATTTAAACCTAGTGCATATGGCATCTAGTATTATTATTATCCAAATGCCACTTTTGAGTATTTTCTTAATAGATTTCTTTAAAATCCTTTTTTATAGTTGTGGACTACTTTAGACTAACGATTCTTAAAGGGAAGAGGGAATTTTGACACCCCCCCCCCAGGGACATTTGGCTAAGTGTAGGGACGTGTTCAATTTTCACCACTTGGATGGGCGTTTGGGTGGGGGAAGTGCTACCGGCATCTGGTGGGTAGAAACCAGAGATGCTGCTCAACATTCTAACACGCGCAGAAGAGGTCCCCACAACCACGAATTACCTGAACCAGGACATCAACAGTACCCACTTGGCCATCATCTTTCATTGTCTTGGGCCCTGGTAACCTCCAAAGAATCAGGGGCTGACTTGAGGCCAGGCTAAGTGTTCCGCATGCAGGCCAGGTGCAGGGGGCTCACCAGCTGTGGCTCCCCCTCTTGTCAGTTTCAGCTACTTGTTTAACTGCTTTGAGAGTCCTTTCTTAAAAATAAAAATCTACACAATAACGGATCATACTTACCTCGTAAGGTTGTGGTGAACACTGAGTCATTATATATACACTTGTATCAAGTTATATGTAGTCATGTATAGTTTTTATATAGTTATATATAGTTTTATATAGTTATATATGGTCAAATATAAATACACTCAGTAAAAATTCCCTTATTTTCCCCAGCCCGCCCACCGATTCCCCACCCCTCCCGACCCTCATCAGTAACCCCGTTCCCAAGGCTCAGGTTCTCTCTCTTAAAACACTTTAATTCCTTTAGTAGTGAAAAATGAAGCTTGGGCTGGTAAGTGAGGCACACTCAGAAGCTAAAGGACCTTGTTTTTCTTTCTCTGAAAGCATTTGTTAAGAATTTCTGCCTGACCCTTCAGCCTCTTGTTGGTTGAATCCTCTCTTAATGTTTAAGACACACACACACACACACACACACACACACACACACAGAGCCATGGCACCAAGACATTTTCCAATGGTTAGGAATGAGAGTTTTTTACATACCGAAAATAACCAGAGGGCAGAGAGCCCTGAAATCCTGTTACATAAGCAAATCTTGGAGGACCGAGGCTGGTTTTTAGGTTCCTTTCTCCACAAGCCAATCTCTGCTGATCCTCCCCAACCTTAGCTGGATTTACCTTAATGCTGCAGGAGTCTCAGGAGGGGCCCCTGGATGCTGCACACTAGGGGCAGCAGGAGAACTTCCCTGTGAACTAAGCACCGCCGGGGGCGATGCGGAAAGGGGCTGGGTTTTCCTGGAGGGCGCCGGGCTGACCGGGCCGGGGGCGCAGGGGGCGGCCTCGTCCGCCCGCGCTCCTGCCGGCTCCGCGTCGCGGCCGCCCGGCTTCCCCTCCTTTGCCCGGCTTGGGAACGCTTCAGTTTGCCTGGACCGTTATTTAGCTTTTCGAATCCACCTTCAGTGATAGCAGTCACCCACAACCCCACCTCGCCCCATCAAAACGAAAAATAATGTCGATTCCCCTTTCCTTCCAATCTCGCGTGTTTGGGTTTCTCTGTCTCCTGTTAATTCTCTCGGCAACCTTTTCTCCACATGTGGTCTACATCCCTTTCTGTACTTCTCTTCGTTGTTTTCCTTCTTCCTTCCTCTCCGGTGTCCACTCCTCCCTCCGCTGCGGCACCCCCTCCCCCCCCAATCTCTCCTCCTTCTCTCGGGCTCCCTGCTCTGCCCTCCCCGCCCCTCCCCAGAGAAGGGTGTCCAGCTCCTCCCGGGGCTGCCCGCCCGTGGCTCCTTCCCTGCCCACCTACTATGAAGAGCGACTCCTCCCACCTGCCCATAAAAGCCAAGTGCATGTTACCAGCACCGGATCAGAGCCCTTTCCTGGTCGTCTCCTGTGGGAGCCCCCAGCCTCTCTCCTGGACCTTACGTGCTCAAGGTAAGACAACACTTCTGCAGGCATCTGACCTCCTAGGGGGTTCAGCTGGGAGGAAGTCTCCTCTGCTCAGCGCACGTACTGTTTGGTTAGGGCTTATTCTTAGGGATGCCAGATAAGCTGCTCCCTTAACTACCAACTGGTTTGAAAACAAACTTCTGTTTGAACGGTAAAATAAAAGTTCATTTGGGGCAGAAACAGAAGCATAAATATTGCAAAACCCTTTTCTCTTCTTAAATCACTTTTCCTCTGGTGCTGACTGTTACTGAGGTTAAAATGTATCCGTTTGGGGTGTTTTACTGACATTTTTCATTGTAAAATATCTCACGTATCAGTGGAGGCAAGGAAAACTTTGTCCCATTGTCAAAAATGTGCTTTAAAAGAACACAATTAGTTTCCTAAAAATAGCACAGTCAAAAGGTCTGCTAACAATTTTGCGATGTTTTCCAAAACCCCAAGACAGCTTCTGTGAGTCCTTTAAAAAATATCTTTCCAGGTTTAAGTGCTTGGAAAAAATGATTCTGTGAACGGGTGCCCTTTCCACAGAGATGGTAATCAGGTGGCTGGTAGATAGGAGAGAACAAATCCAAGTTTACAAGCTTCGGCAGAATGTGCTCACAAATCCATCTTTTTAAGACATCCTAAAATGAGAATTGGATTGGGAGAAAGTGTATAAAAGGACTTCATGAATTTCTATACACACACCTAAACATAAAGCGTTTCAATATGTTTCACAATGGAGAAAAATACAGGCCAGATTATGCAGTACTCCTGTATCCACCAGACAGTTATAAAGAAAGATCAGCCAGAAGGCTTTGGACGTTTGACCCCTGCTTGCCACCTTCTTTGCCTTCATCTAGTAAATTAATATTGACCTGATTGGCACCCAGTTCTTACAGAGCTATCCAGGGGTTCAGCTACCCTCATTTTTAAAGACTGATGTCTTCTTATTTCCGAGGTCTGAGAAGGAGCATTGTGCACCTGTGGAAGGAAAAACATCTTCCACTGCTACTTCTGTAAAACCAGACATTTGGTTCATGAAGTTTGCCATCAGAATCTGTGGGCTGTGTGGGATGAAACTCTCTCATGTGGGAGAAAAACCCTCCTCCAGTGTCTCCTCTAGGGAATTGCACAAGCCCGCTTACAGACGGCGAATCAGAGCTGGCAGTCAGGAAACCAAACCACTAGTTCAGCTCTTAAGGTTCTTAAAGTAAGAGAGGAAAAGTCTCGCTTCTTTTTTTTTTTTTTTTTGGTTTGTTTATATTGTTTAACTTGAAAAGGAAAAACTCACAAAAGCTGTAAAAAATGCTCCACTATTAAAGAGAGTAGAATTATTAGAAGTTTAACTGAGCGTCTTCCAAACTTATTCTCCTTATGGTTTGCCTAGCAAAAGAAATAATAAAGATTTTAAAATTCTGTTTGGCATGGAGGGGATTCAATGCTATTATTCAAATGAAAGAGTTGTATGTAAAGTGTTCTGTCATGTGAAATTTTGTTTCATTGGAAAAAATTATTGCAAGGAGTGTGGTTTCCTTTAAGAAAATGATATAAAATTACTATTGGCCAAGATAATATGTGACCTGGGCATATTGAAAGAGCTTTTATCTCGAGCCACAGTGCAGACAGCTTGCTTCATATCTGATGTGAGTGAGTGATCAACCGTGACAAGAGCACAGGTATGGGACAAGGCCAAACCAAGCGTGTGGTATGTCCAAGTTCATTCTTCTTTTATGGTAGTGCCGGATTCATGCCCATCATCACAAGGGTGAAACACACTGCTTCATTCAGCAGATCCCCTTTGAGAGAAGTTATCTTTTCTGGGAGGAAAAAAAGTCGTGCTCCCAGTGTAAAAGAGCTCCCTGCTGTTCCTAAGCGTGGTGATGCAAAGTGTTCTCCCAGGGTTTGCTTCTGCTTTTCCTGGCAGTTGACCCACTCCACGAGCTCTGAAACATTTAACAGTAATGCCTTCCCCGTGTGCCATCAAGTTCCATGCCCTGAATAACCAGGCAGGAGTATCGTAGATTGCACATGATCTACCTTCCACAGGGGCCTTTACTAGATACTTACAGTTATTCTTCTTTCAGGCAAGATGATACTTCCCTTAAATGTTTCAAAAACTAGTCAGTGGTGGGATTTCATGTAGTTACCCCAGTGTTTCCCCTTTTGCACAAGATGCGGAGATATAATGTGAGACTCATCTTTATGCCATTGTATGGCTACCCCGAGATCGGGTTCATTGCCATAACTATGCACCATCGTTGCAGCAGGCTTTGAATGACTTCTTTAATGTTTCCCAGAAGAGAAAAGGTGAGTGCCACTGGGTTCACTAGAGACAGGGGAAGATGCTCTGCTAATTTCACAGGCCGGCTACACCTGGAGAAACACACCTTCTAGATTCTCTACAACTCCCGAAGGTACAAAATCATATTCCTTTCATCGTCAGAAAGTATATCGCACTGTATTTCCATTTGTGGAAACCAAGGAAAGGAGAATGGGAATAAGTAGAGAATTGTGAGGGAAGCTGAGAGGAATCGCTCCTAGGACGTGCCCCAGGAAAATAGAAAGATCAGAATCTCTGTTACAAATGCACTTTCCCTCTGCCATGATTTATGTGGGATATGAGGAGATGAGGAAGAGCAAAAATCCATGTCTGCTCTTATTTTTCTTTCTTAAACCACTGAGAATATGGCATTTCCAATAAGAAGTTAAGATGCAACTCTACCATGCCCTCCTCAAGCAGAAGAGAACAGTTCAATTTTAAAGACCAGAAAGATCGCAGGCCTGCCCCATATTAAAACCCACACAAGTTTATCAATTATAATTTTACAAGCTATATCATGGGTATAAAAACCCTCAGAACATACTTTTAACTGATGGGTGATTTACATTTAAAAAAAAACCAACCCTAACTCTCCCAAAGGACCCAGTGCTGGGTGATTATTTGAAATTTAGGAGCGGCAATTTACCCCTTCTTATCCATTGCCATCCACTTCAGGATGGCAATCTGCAGAGTGATTGAGTTGCAGCCATAGTTTTCAACCTTCCGTCCTCAAGTAACCCTCTGAGAGCTAGGTCTTTCTTCTTAACTAGGCTTTCTGAGCCACCAGGTCCCCGTAAACACTGACATACATCATTTAAAGGAGGTACGGATCTTGAGACTAGAGTGCAATCTTCTCTTTGAAGAAATACATTGTTCCAACTATTGAGTGAAAAGAAAAACAAAAGGAGAAGAAAGGAGGAGGTTAATAGGAGAAGGATGCCCTCTGGAATTTAGAGACTCTCTTTAGCTTTGTGGGAAAAGGGCCCCTTCCTAACGCAAAGCATCCAGAATTTTTTTAAGGACCAACTCACAAACTCTTACAAAATAGTGACGACATAAGGAAAAAGATCTTCCAATGACCTGACAGTCATTGACAGCAGTTTACACCCTACAGTACGAAATTAGAGCTCTGCTGAACTTCCCTTTTTTAGAGAGACAAGGAGTAAAGAGTGAGAGACTTAAGCACAGTTCAGCACCAACAGAGAGAAAGCGCTAACCTGACATTCTGCTATCACTTTGGTAACTGTGTTTGCTGTTTGAGGAAGGAAATTCTGTATATTCTTTCCTCAAAGAAATAGATTTGCAAGAAGGGAGTCAGGCAAGGTCAAGGTCGGAATGTCTGTAATCTGGGGGCCCTCTGTATGCAAATCCACAAAGCCATTGAAATTGCTTGGTATCAAACTGCAGTTACTGAAACAAAAATGTTCCCAAAACTGATCATAGAGTAGTTAGTTAAATAATTGTGAATGCTAGCTTATCAATGTAGCATTGTAGCTACAATGTAGCAATGTAGCAAAAGCAACTCCCAACACAAATAGCTGATTATATAAAATACTGAAACACACCTGATGGTTCACCTTCCATCTCCTCCATTAGCTTTGGGCTTATTTCCATTGTCTCCCCAGGAAAACAAATGCTGCCCTTTTGCCCCTCCGCACTGGACTTGCAAATGCAGTCATGACCTCTCTGTGCTGTCCCTCTTTTGTTTCATTAGAATAAATCTCTTCTCAACTCCCTTGGATCAAGTTTCTGGAGTACCACTCATACTTGTGGCTTTTCTAATTACCAAAAGTCTCATACTTCTCTTAAACAGGATGTAAATTTTTACTTCAATGAATAAAAAGGCTTTACATTTACTAAAGCTTAATCCAGAAGGAAAAAAGGTAATTTAAAATTGCTGCTTGCCTCCAATAGGCTCCCTAAAATGATGTTTCTAAGCAGTTTTATTTACCTAGTCCCTATTCTAACTTCTTGTGGATTAAAAACCTTATTTAGAAAATCCCTGAATATAAATGTTGGAAGGATCTGTGGAGCTAATTTTAACTGAACTTAATTTTACAGATGAGAAGAGGTTAGAGAGCTTAATGTACTGCCCAAGGTCACCCAGACGTGTGTAGTAGAACCAGGGCTGGAGTTCATGGAGCCAAGCCCTCCCTCCAGCCAGCCTTGTATAACTGTAGTGCTCTTCCCCACACAGTGTGTATCACAGACGTCTGTGACTGCACCAAGAATTCCACTGGAGCTTGGCATGTAGGGTTCTCAGAAGCCATAACCTGGTAGTACCTCTACGATGGAACATCTAGAAACACTGATCCGAACCCCTATGAAGAGAGGTCACTGATTGTCGTCACCGCAGGGACTTTGTATGTGTTTCTCCATTCCAGAACCTGACACGTAGTATAAATGTGTTGTGTGGTGAGTGAATGGGGGGCGGGAGCTAAATATAAAATGTCTACGCTTCTTTACTTGGTCCAGAGAAATCCTTATAACGAGTCTATAGGGCCTTATAGGTGCTCAGATCTCAAATATATCAAATTTAAGATTCTCCCTTGCTTTAGGGAGTGTGGGAGAGTTCTCTAGCCTCATCAATGGCTAAGCCATTTTCCTGCCTGCAGTACTTTCACTAGTCCTCCCACACTTACCCAAGTACCAGAAATTATACTATTTGTCCAGCAGGCTTAAA